ACTAGCTGAGAGTCTGTTTTTAAGCAGACATGATCGGCTTCCAAGGAGATGCATAATTGTAGGCCGGCGATTGCTGCCTCATATTCGGCTTCATTGTTCGAGGCCTTAAAAGAAAATTTTAGTGCATACTCAAAGGATTTGCCTTCGGGAGAAGTTATCACTACTCCTGCCCCCGAACCGTTTTCGGTGGAAGACCCATCCGTAAACACGGTCCAGACTTTCTTTTCACTGTCCAGCACTTCTTGGTATGAGCATTCGGCCAAGAAATCCGCCAGAGCTTGAGCCTTAATGGAAGCCCTCGGACGGTAGCTGATGCTGAATTCGGTGAGCTCAAAAGCCCACCTGGCTAGCCTACCGGATTTTTCAACCTTGCCAAGAACTTTTTCCAACGGCTGATCAGTTAAGACCACTATCTGATGGCAATCAAAATAGGGTCTTAGCTTCCGAGCAGCTACTACTACCGCGAAAGCAACTTTCTCGAGTAGAGGATAGCGGGTCTCGGCATCCGTCAGTGTATGGCTGACGAAATAAATCGGTTGCTGACTCTTACTCTCTTCCCTCAGCAATACTGCGCTGATGGTGGCCGGGCTAACGGCCACATATAGGTATAGAGTTTCTCCTTCAACTGGGCTAGCCAGCGTTGGGAGTTGAGCCAGATGCTCCTGAAGCTGTTGAAAGGCGTCTTTTTGCTCTTCCTCCCAAACAAGCTCTTTTGTTTTCGGGAGTTTCAGGGCTTTGAAGAAGGGTAACCCCTTATCCGAAGCTCTGGAAATGAACCTCGAAAGGGCTGCCATTCTTCCGGTGAGCCGCTGAACATCCCTCTTCGTTTTCGGCTCAGGAAGGTCGAGCGCCGCTTTGACTTTAGAGGGATTGACATCAATCCCCCTTTTGCTGACCATGAAACCCAGGAATTTCCCTGACTTCACGCCGAAGACACACTTCTTCGGATTCAGCTTCATTTGATGCTTTCTCAAGGTGGCGAAAGTTTCAGCCAGGTCCTTTACATGGTCCTCTAGTTTTTTTGCTTTTGACGATTGAATCGTCAACATAGACTTCCATGTTTCGGCCCTTTTGATCGGCAAAAACTTGATCCACCAGCCTTTGATAGGTTGCCCCCGCATTTTTCAATCCGAAGGGCATCATTTTGTAATTATACACCCCAGCGTTCGTGACGAATGCTGTCTTGGCTCGATCGTCGGGGTGCATAAAGATCTGATGATACCCCGAGAATGCGTCCATGAAACTAAGCAAGGCATGGCCACTTGTCGAATCGACTAGCTGATCGATTCTTGGCAAGGGATAGAAATCCTTTGGACAAGCCTTATTTAGGTCCGTGAAGTCAACGCACATCCTCCAGGTACCATTGGGCTTCTGAACCATCACCACATTTGCCAGCCATTCCGGATATTGGCAAGGTTCAATGAACCCTGCCTCCAATAATTTTTTGACTTCGGCTGCGATGTCTCGGTTCTTATTGGCGGAGTAATTCCGCTTCTTTTGCTTAACTGGTCGACACGCTGGGTCAACATTAAGCTTGTGGGAGATGAGGTCTGAACTTATCCCGGGCATATCAGCTGCCGAGAAAGCAAACACATCTCTGTTATCCCGAAGGAGCTGAATAAGTTCACAACGGGTGTTAGGATCAAGGTCCATCCCGATTGTTACACATTTCTCAGCATCTCCTTCGGCCAACTCAACTGTTTCAGTCTGTTGGTCCATGTCCATTGCCGAGGGACTGGACTCTTCAGAATCTGATCTGCTGCCAATGTCAGCAGGTGTCCCAGTCTTTGTGTTCTTCGGCTGGCTCTCCGAGTCGTGCGGCTCAGCTGAAGAGTCAACCTTTTCCCTTTCGGGACCTTTTTCTCTGGGCACGGATCCTTGGGCCGAAGCACTTAGGCCTTTCGGCTTTTTTGCGCTTGGCTCTCTTTCTTTTTCTTTCTCCTCCTCATCCTTGTCGTTATCTGGGCGACTACTGGATGGCTTGAGGTAGTTGCACCTTCGGGCGTCCTTTTGGTTGCCCTGTATCCTTTCGGGGAAGCCGGCGTCTGAGACGTAAATCATCAGCTGATGATAAGTTGAGACGACCCCTTGGATCTCGTGAATTATGGGTCTCCCCAAAATCACGTTGTACACTGAAGGAGCGTCGATGACCAAAAACTCAATCATGACGTTCCGGGCTGCCTCATCGCAACCGATGGTGACAGGAAGTGTCACCTTCCCATCTGGATAAGTTGAAGCCCCATTGAACCCGGATACCGGATAGGGTACCGGCGTAAGGTGCTTGGGCTTCAGCTTAATTTGGTTGTAGGCCTTTCGGAACAGAATGTTTGCTCCGCTGCCACCGTCAACAAGGACCTTACTGACGTCATGGTTGGCCACCGTGGCGATGATCACCAACGGATCCTCGTGAGGGAACGTAATCCCCCGGCAGTCGGCGGCTGTGAACGTCATGTTCGGCACCGGCGACTGGGGAGATTGAATGTCAGCGTTGTTCACCTGGTGAGTCAAAGCTCTAAGGTGACGCTTGTGCTCCCTCCGAGAGTATATTCCTCCCGAGATAACATTGATCGGAGGGAATTTCCCCTCCGGTTTTTTACTGTTTTTCCGGGGGAAATCAAGGTCCTGCCGAGGGTCCTTTGCTAGCCTCTCGGATTCTTTTTTCTCGCGGTGATCCGCGATGTATTTTTTCAAGTATCCCTTCCGGACCATGTCCTCTATTCTATCTGGTCCTTCAGCTGGATACACTCCTCAGTGTTGTGGCCCGAAGACTCGTGGAACTCACACCACTGATTTTTATTTTTTCGCTGATACCACTCTGGGAGTGGTCTCGGCTTTCGGTAACTCTGCTCCTCTTTCGTCACACTGTAAATTTTGGCGCGTGGAAGAGAGAGCGGAGTGTAGGACTCATATCTGCCTGTGTATGAGGCAAACCTGTCCTTCTTTAGGTCGCTGGCCGAAGATTGCTCCGAGGCCTTTGATTTTCCCTTTGCCTTATGGCCTTGGCCTTCAGACAAGGGTATTTGCCTCTGTTTCCCTCCCCCGGATTGAGGTTGGGTTTTTGCTTTATTCCATTCTTCGGCTCGGATGAACTTATCCGAAGCACTAAGAGCTTCCTCCAAGGTCTGCGGGGTATGCATGACCATGAAGTCTAGGAATTTTCCTGGCTGAAGGCCATTCTGCATTGCAAAAACAGCTAGCCCCTGGTCCAGCTGGGAGACGCTTGATGACTCGTTACTGAAACGGGTCAGGTAGTCTCGGAGGCTTTCGGTTTCCCCCTGTTGCAGACCCATGAGCTCTGCGGTAGTCTTCTCTCGGCGGTTTGCCGTGGAAAACTTGCTCCTGAACTTGGAGGACAGATCATCCCAACCTGTTATGGAGCCTTGCCTTACTCCCTTGGAGATCCACGCTTGCGCGACCCCCTTGAGAGTGGTTGGGAAATATTTGCACCAAGTCGCCTCGGATCTGGGGCAAAGATGCATATGAGTCTCATACGAGGCCACGTGGTCCTTCGGATCCGTGGTCCCGTCATATGTGATATGCGACGGTATTTTAACCGTGGGTACGCGCTCTTCCAGTATCCATTGCTCGAATGGTGAACTAGCGGGAAGCATAATGGCCTTGCCCTTGTTCCTGGCCGAAGGGACCGCGCTCCGCCCTCTTAGAGAGGTAGGAGTGGTTTTCGTCCCTGGCTGGGAAGTCTGGGCCTCGGCTGCAGGGAACGAGAGGCGACTACGCACGCTCGGTTCCTGGCCGCCGAGTCGGTCAAGGACGCTTCTGCGAGCAGTCTCGGGTTCCCGGCGAGTAGATTCTAGCCGAGAAGCTGAGCTGCTACTCTTATGCGCTGCTGGTCTTGAGGATGAGGATCCTTTAAATAATTGAGAGTTCTTTTTCCTCTGTTTTTCATTTTTCCAAGAATCCTCCTCCCACTCTTCCAGTTCCCGGAAGGAAGGAAGCTTCCCACCGTCATGGTCTAACTTCCTCCGCTGATGCCGGGTATGCGGAGGAGTTCGATCACGAGGCGGTGGCATATTCTGTGCCCTCATTGCCTCCATGAGTACTGCCAGCGCTCTTGCCACCTCTTCCGAACTGGGCCCCGTCAAAGGGGTCCCCGGCCGAGTGTGGGCATGAGGCCGTGCAGCCGATGGTTGGCGTTGGGACACTGAATATGTCCTCTGATCAGACTGACCCCTGCTAGACCAAGAGTGGTCCGGCCTATATTGAGAGTCATGCATTATAGGAGATAGGGAATCCTCCTTGTGTGATCCTCCCCCCGAGCCGGCACCCTTGGGAGAGTTCCGGTCCGGCGAGGGCGATGGTGTAGGGGTTTTAGGCTTTTCGCCCGCTCCTTGACGGAGGCTTTTGCTCTTGCGGTTCTTAGCCATGGCTGCTAAGATAATTGCAAGATGATCTTGGTTAGGAATTTGGCTTAAAGATTTTTGAAAGTCTTCCCCACAGACGGCGCCAAATTGTTTCGGTTGAAAACAATGGGACCTTGCCGAAGGTCCGCTGAAATGGAGAAGACTGGATTCGGTCCAAGTTGTGTTGGGCCGAAGGTTTCCTGCACAGTGAACACACGTAAACTAGCCTCGGGGGTGTTTCCGAGGAAGGCCCCTCCGATGCTAAAGTCAGTACAATGTGTAAAAGGAAGACACTATGCAAGAGAGTTTGTAGCTTGAGGCTTTTGTGGAATATTTCTGAATGCAAGAATGAGCATATGAGTTGGAATGTGAATCTCCCTCCCCGTGAATGTGTCAATATGATGGCTTTTATACCTCATCATACATGGAGAGGTTGGGCTTTAGCCCAATTGGCTTACTTTGTGGGCTGACCTTTGACTTTTGAGCAATTGGAGGGTTGAACCTTGACCTTGGGCTTTTAATTGGATCATTTAGTGCTTAGGCCCAATTTTGACTAAATTGGACCCAAACACTCCGTATTACCGTATTACACTTTTCAAGTCTATAGTAAGTTATTAACTCCTACACCAACCCGTCAAAAAAAAAAAAAAACTGCAATTACCATCACTGTGGCGTGCTTTAGTGTACCATTGAAATCGGCCGTGAATAACTTTACTTCTACCTGGTACGGCAATTTGATTCAATCGCAGAGTTTTATAAAGTTTTTAATATATTATTGATCTTTTATGCAGATTTGAGAGTTTGGACGAGAATATCAATCTTTTCACAACCTCAAGCAGAGTTCAAGTAGGGTGATAATCAAAAGCTTGATTCGTCTCTTCCATCTCATTAGAGGGCTTTGCTCGTCAATCTTTATCTTTAATAATCGGTAAGTTTCAAATTTCAACATCATTAGTTAGGGGGTATTTTATGTTTCGTTCATTAAAAAGAAAGGGTATCTTTCCTCTACAATCGTAACCAACACCACCACTACCTTAAGTTTATTCTATTTTCTTAGCTAGGCTTTGTCTGGTTCAATAAAAGAAAAAATAGAAAGAGAGGAGAAATGAAGGTGATTTTTTTTTTTTTTCAATATTTGGTTAGTGAAAGAAAAAGAAGGGAAGATAAAGAAAATTTATCATGTATAACTTTTATTTTTCTCTTTTTAGTCGAATTATAGATAAGCTAAAAATTGGTAAAGGAAATTTCCTCACTTCCCTTCATTTCCTTTGAATTCTCATGTCATTTGTTCAACTAAATATGAAACATGATTAAAATCATTTCTTTTCTTTTCTTTTTTCTTCTAAATCCCTTCAACTAAAAAGGGCCTTAGATCCATTTTGTGGGTAGCTTGTGATGGTGTTTGGATGTAAGGTTAGGATCCTTATTGGTGCCTTGGTGGTTATTTCCGGGTGGTTGGGGGTGGTTTTAGGTGATTGGAGTTTGTTTTTGGTGGGTGAGGTTGTTTCCTAAGTAGGCGATAATGACTGCAGTATCACCTTTAAATTCAAATTGTTTGATTTCTTATGATTTAAACCTAATTTTATGATTAATTTTGTATTTATATATATAAATCATTATATGTATAATTAATTATTTGATTTTTTCATCTAAGATTTTTAATTATTTAAATTTAATTTAATTATATATTATATAATTTAATATATAATATATAATGATATAATATATCCTTATTTTTAAATAATATTATATTTTATTTGCTAATAAATTATTAATTTATTAATTGGTAATATATAATATATGATATTATATAATTATATATAATATTATAATATTAATTTATATCATATAATATTATAATATTTAATTTATATTATACCAATTAATATTAATATAAATTATTTATAATATTAATTGGTAATAATTATAATTATTATAATATTTAATATATTAAATTATAATATATAATATATGAATTTATTATAATATTAATATTAATATAAATTATATTAATATTATTTAATATAATATTATAATATTATATTAAAAAAAAAATAATATTATAATATATAATGTTATATATATAATGATATATTATATCATTATATCAATTAAAATTATATTTGATTTATTATATAAAAAAAATAAATCAAATATATAAAATAATCATTATATAAATAATAGGCTGTTAAATTTTTAGATAAATTAAAATTTAAGGTTGTTGCCTAGTACGGAATAATAAACAACCAGAAAAATACTGCAGTAGTGATAAATTCTTGTCAATAACTGAGAATTTTTTCTAGTGAAAAGTAATACTGTATGAAATTTTTCAGTGATATTTACCATGTTCGGAATTTGTTGTTGGTCACGGATCATCCATCATCCAGCCTGGTAAGTAAGTATAAGGAAGTTATATTACCGTGAAATCACATTTTACAACTGAAACTTCCCAATACAAAGGGAAAGAAGTACACGCCGGGCCAAACAAGCATGTAACATTGTATCTATTTGCCATACCCACATCTTATTATAAATCCGTTTCATATGAGATTTTGCTTTATTTAATTTATTATCAGCCTAAATTAATAAACCTATTTATATTCGCAATCTTCACCTGTAGGCTTCTGGCACTCTCCCTAAGCTTCTTGGAGCAGTTTTTTAGTGTAAGCCCCTTCAAACTGGAAAGTTGGCAATACATTCTGGTATGGCCTTGAGGTCTTCACATTTGGCTATTGGGAGTGTCTCCAAGGAGGACATGCTTCAATCTGGGGAATGCTTGCTTCTTTTGGACCGTGTCGGTATCGTCGTCGGTATCGAGGAAGCTGAGGTCTTCGTCGAGGTCGTCGGAGTCAGTGGTGGCGGTGGTGAGAGAGAGGAGGAGGAAGAGGGTGAGGATAAGTCGAGTCGGCATTGTTGAAGATGGGAGTGATCTGAGGTTGGGAAATGTGAAAGGAGCGAAAATGTAGGGAGTGAAGTGTTCAAGTGAGTGAAATAGGGTTTAAGAAGAGAGAAATAAAGTCAGGAATTTTAGAATTACTTATTTAATTTAAGATTAACTGAGAAAGAAAATTTTCATTAACGAAATTTCACACTTTATTTGATTGTCACTTTTTGTTTTGTTTTTTTTTTTTCCACTGAACAAACCCTACACTAATTCTTTTATTTATAAACGCGTAATATCTCCTCCTCAACTTAACTTTAATCATGGTCTTAAAAGTGTTTTTTTTTTTTTTTTGTTGCAATTTTTCTCTCTTTTTTCAAATTCACTACATATGTAAAGTCAATTTTTCTCTCTTGTTCCTAGACTTCCTACTCCCCCTTCCCTCTAACTCTTGTTTTATTGGTAGAACAATTCAACATAAAGATATTTCTTAGCAAGCAAACTTATGTTTTTAGTTAACTTTATGTCAATTTTGACCAAAAATTAAACTCTTAACCGCCAATAAGATTCCCAAAATTTTTACCGGAAAAGTTATTCGACATGTAATCACAATGTTTTTTGAACATGTAAATCGAGAGATAAGTAATAACCGAGGGATATATACAAACACATTACTCAACAATAAGGAGAACAAAATACTTGGTGATTCACAAAGTTGTGTTCAAAATGATTTTCAAAAATCTAAACCTAGAGATAGTTAATCTAATAATTAAACAGAGTACTCAATTAGTTACTCTCGGAAGATCACCATACTTCATACTAATAAACTAAAGCCCGATACCAGAGGAAAGGAAAAAAAAAACACAAAAGAGAAATTGGAGAGCTTTGAATATCATAGAGAATCACTTGGGAATTTCCCAACAACAAAATTGAGTACAATTATTGTTATATTAAACAAATACATAAGAGGGATAACAGAGCCTATAAACTATTTGATCATATGCTTGAACCAAACCCATTCCAAAACAATTGAGTAAATATAGCATTTATCCCACATATCAAAATTATCAATTTGCTTGTGAGCAAAACAGAATGAGGTATAACCTATCAAAAACAACAGAATTGAGCCCAAAACAGAACACTTTTCTTGGAGCTTTGATCCAGTATAGGAAGCCACCTTGTAGCTTTGGTCCAGTATATATAGGAAGTCACTCTTCCTTATTTAATATATAAAGAAGTCGCAAGACAAGCTCAGACATTACGAGCTCCTTCCCATGCTGCCAAAAAGTCTAAAAGGTTGGGTATAATTTGTTAATTTAATTTACAACCCAAGTTAAACAAAATCAAAAAAAAAATTGAAATGCTTTGAATTAGATCCAATAGAAAAGCAATTAAATATTTTTAAAAAAACTTAAATCTTCATATACAATCCTCATAACATAGAGAAAAAAATCAACAAACACATATGTGCACGCATATAAGTTGAATGAAATCATACACAAAAGTAAGATACAAAATCATCCATGAAATGATGGTTGTCATAATATGCAACCAAGGTCTGCTGCCCCAGCCCCACCTAATCCAGTCAAAGTGTGATGTGTGCCAAAATCATAGACCAGTGATGCTCAATTGTAGGCCCATTTAACCCGGTGATGCATGTATTAACTCAACCAAGGTTAGGTTTCATACGACTCTCAATGCCATGAACACATTCTACCGGACATGAGTCAAGACACCTTCCAAAGCAGTCTCCACACCAGCCTGAATTCAACTATACACGTTCCTCTTTTCATATATAGATGCTATGAATATGTAATTCTGGTTAACTATATAAATCAAAGAACACTTTCCTACCTAGTATTTGAACATAACAACATGACATAATTTGATCAAACTGTGAGGTCAATTTGATTTTAGATTAAATTCTAATGTGCAAGCACAATGTAAATGCTAAAAGACACCTAGTGTGATTTCAAAACTCGGCTAATTAGAGTTAAGCACAAGATATTGCTTCCTTAATCTTGTGTGATAAGGTGCTGAAGGCAAAATAGAAATTAGGTGCTAAACACCAACAATTCCCTCTAACCAAATTTTGTAGTGTTATACTCGTCATTGTTTTTGCTAAAGTAGAATATGCAGACAAATTTGTTTTTGTTTTATGAATGCAAAAAAAATGCCATCACTCTAGCTCAGCAAAACACGGCATAGTGAAATGTGGAGAATGTGGCCGTTTGATAAAATTACATATACAAAACACTAACCACAGATCCATTATCCAGCTGTTTTGCTGCGGCAATGTACTCTTTCATCAGATTCTGCTTGCTTTCTCTCTCCACCTTAACTTCTTTTTCTCAGCAAGAATTATTTTACAAAATTAGGGGGAATCTAGCATTACATAGAGTGCATTCCAGAGATCAAAACCGTCATTGCAAGTAAAAAACAAAGAGAAAACAAATACGAGAGGAAAATGAAAGATTACAATCATCTTTAATTAATAATTAGTGATCATCCATTAAAACATTCAAATCAACAATAAAATGACTTCATTATATCGAAAACATCAACAATGATAGCACTGGTAAAAACTAAAAAGAATACTACTTTTCACAGTTATAAATGCAGATATTAAGAATGAGGTAACATTTAAACCAGAAGAGAGTCAAGTAGCGGACAATATCTCAGTTCATTAGGTTGAATTTGACAAAGCACTGCTTGAGTTCAGGTAGGCCAAGCAAACCCCAATGCTCTATGGATTGATTGCATTTCGTTCAGTGAACGATCAACAAAGATTCACCTTGGATTATATAGCAGAAATCCTCAAAAAGTGCAATCCGTAACATAGTAAACTTACTAAAACACTCTTGGCATGGAACTACATTAAGTATATCATATACTAAGTAAATCAATACTTCTTTTTTCTTGTAAGTAAATACAGTACTTTTGAGTTGGAAAACCCATTCTGTCATCACAACTACCACCCATGTAACAGCTGCAATTTCCATCCTACACCTGAGTGTAGTTTACACTTTTGCACGCTTTCAAATTCCCCTCCCCATTTACTCATGATAATAATTGATATATATATATATATTATAGATTTAATTTGTTTAATTAAATAATATCATATCAAATAAATATTGATTTACTTGGTGTCTCAAATGCTCTTAAGTATACAACATCTAAACGTGCGTATGCCATTATATAAACAAATAATCATTAATAAATACAATGTAACTAATAATTACAAATATAAATTTAAACATAATATTTTAAAAATTACCCGGACATTGATGACCTAAAACTAACACAAAATCACTACACAAAATTCGCTTGATGGAGTTTTGTATTGATATGAAATTTTATTTGTGTCGTATGATGTGTTAGATCTGCATGTATAAAAAACATTTAGTAAATAAAACATAAACATATAATCGTTGAGTATCCCAAATTAATACAATGTAAGTAATAATTAGAAATACTAATTTAAACATAGGATTTTAAAAATTAAACTAAAAATTACCCGGCCATTGATGACCAAAAACTAACACAAAATTCGCTTGATGGGGTTTTTTTATTGATAAGAAATTTTGTTTGTGTCGTATGATGTGTCAATCTATAATAGTAGGTATCACAAATTTTAATTTAATTATAATTAACGAACAATTTGTATTTCTTATCATAAATATCATCAAAATGTATCTTGATAAGTATCAAACTTTATTATAAGCGTTTATCATTTAAATATTTCTTAGTATATTTTTTTTGGATTTCTTATACTCGTAGTATTGAATTAATAAATTTATCTTTTCCTATATTTTTACTTTATTTTTTTCATTAAAATAATTTAATTCGTGGATTATAATCTACATGGCATTAAAATTTTAGATATATCAAATCTAATTCGTTACTTTTATCAGGTGGCCACATAATTTTTTAATTCAAAAATAAAATACAAATATTTCTTCTTATTGGTCGAAATACGTATATTTCTTACGTGGCGCTCCGAATGCTCTCCAAAAATGCCTACTTTATTTATATATATATATTAGATTAGGTTAGATTATTATATGATGGTGAAAATAAATTACAAACTGTAAAAAAAAAAAAAAAAAACAATTAAATTTATAATGAAAGCTAAAGTTCTTAAGTACCTTCTTTTTGATCCATTTATGAACCTCGGTTTTTTTGTTGTCAACTACTCCATTGTACCTTGAATTGTAAAATTTATACTACGAGTATTACCTTAAGGCCAAAATGTCAAACATTTGGTTGTCTAAAACAATAACAAGATCCTTTTAGTATTATTAGACTTTATGTTGATACAATTATTATACCATCAAGAGATGTAAATGTACCAACAGACATTTATTATTGTCATCACAAGACTTCCTCAAATATTTGATTGTAGTCACACACCAAATTATGCGCATGCTTTACAATCAGAAGGTCTCACGTGCTTTTGTCACATTGTTTTGGAAGCCTAATTCCAAAAAAATAAAAAATAAAATAAAAACTAATGAGTCAAATTGAGTTGATTTTGGATTATTCCGGTTTGGTTCAAGGCAGACTCAGACTTTCCTCAATAATTTCGGGTTGGGTTGGGTTAGGGAGGCAGCCCTAAATTAGCATCGAAATGTCCAGCCCAGCAGATTCAAGGTTGAAATCTGAATCTGGTTACACCGAATATTTACATTAGATTAGAAATGGAAACAAAAATTGAAATGGATTTCAGCAAGTAAAATAAAACATGAATCTTAACAAATAAATGGTGCAGAATTCTGTACAAGCAGAGTATATGTAATTGTCAACCAAAGTGCATAGCATATTGCATCCAGCATTATGTACAGACAAGTACATTTTTGTAAAAGCCATGAGACAAAGTAAACAGCAAGCAGAACAGCATCAGCTTCACTGTTTGGCAAGAGGCCGTGTGTTTTCCCAAAGCCATTGACGTTCTGAACCATCCAGCAATGGTGAAACCTGCAGTAGCAAAGACAATACAGTTCAAAGTCAATTACAATGACTAAGCTGGAGAAGTTTTTCCCCAAGGTTACATGCTTGGTACTGCAAGCAACAGTTTCATTTCCATTAAAAGCATCGTTCAATATATGCATTACCTTTTGCCAAACTTGGTCATGATAATCATTAAGCCAATCAACTTCAGCAGCAGATAGTAAGGATAAGTCGATCAATTTGCTCTGCAAAATGCCATCACTAAACATTAGCTTCACATTATATTTTGCTAGGAATATTCAGAAAATATTTTTATGCATTTGCCTTCCATATATGGATTTTTTTGTTGATCCAGTTTCTTGGTAGTTTGAATTGGTCAAATAATGGGAAGAGGATCAAAATCCAATAGACCAAGGTACTCCCAAAAGCAAGAAGTCAAAAAAACAGGTGAAAAGGATTCTACACATAAAAAGTGCACAAGGCTTTTGATACTTCTCTCTTGCTTATTTATTTCCCAATTCTTTGAACTTTTACTTCTTTATTTAGAGACCGTAGATGCAGCTCGAGAAGATTGAGATCGCTTAATGAAGACCACTTTATTAAACAGAAGAGACAATTGACAACAAGATAAAATGTGTCATGAACCAACAAGATAAAATCTCGATTGTGAGCTTGATTAAGAATTATCAAAGAAATAAGAAGTCAGAAGAGTCTTTGATTAAGATTAAGCCAAAAGATTTCTTAAAAGTTACAACGGTAACTTTAGGCTGCCACTCTCCAAATGGTGACTTGAGGTCACAACTCTCCTAATAGTGACTTGAGGTCACAACTCTCCTACGAATTAACTCACAATTTGCCTGCCTACCCACTTCTCATCTCTCCCTCTATTTACGTACATGGTTTCAATCCCTAGGATGATTCTAGACCAAGCTTTTGTCTCATGTGCACACGTGGCAGCTCTCTCTCTCTATATTCTATACTATCAATAAATTTGATGACTATCAACAGAATAATACTAGTACCCATAATGCCCCTCCTTAGGTCGGTTCATTATAAAATGCCGGATGCCTTCTAGTTTCATTAACCACCCACTTCACAATAACAACTAAAAAATGCCGAATACTGTCAGCAAATAATAGCTAAGAATTCTGTGTTCTTGTAAAAATAACAGGAGATAATGAGAGGTCTCTACAAAACCGCATCGATTTGACTGGTATACCTCTAACTAGGGCCTATTTGGCAAAAGAAGATGTTAGCTCTTGTACCTGCTTTCAGATATTGGGGTTATATAGGAAATTAGATGTCAAGACTGATTATTGGAATAGTTTGAGAGAAAAAAAAATTGGACTTCACTCTACCTACAACAACTACCTCTTTGCCACAAACTACTTTCTATTTAACATTCCCAAAACAGTACTTCAACAGTTCAACCACTAAATTCTAACTTAAATCACCACAAAGAACATTATTATACACCTTGGCTTTAGTTGGTCTGAACTCTTAAAACTAATTTACAAAATGTTATCAAACTGGAAAATAGCAGTACTATATCAATTCAGCAGCCTGAATAAATCAACGGCAAAATTCTAGTTTTGGGAGTATTGGGACATTAGGTAATATGAAGATGTTGGCATCGGTGAATTGATACATGTAAACAATACTCATAATAAAAGAGCTCAAGATAGCAACACCTGAATAGGAACAAAAGTAAGCTTTTCAAATCCCAGATACGCAAGACCTCCAAAGCGGTTTGGTGTATCCATTTCTTTCACAAAAAGGAGGTTCTGCATGACAAAAGAAAGGATATCATTAGAGGCATTTCATGTCTGTTACATAATCCAAGTAACTACAAAAGAGATTCTCATCAAACACCTCCTCTGTTTCTATTTAGTTCCAATAAAGTGCAATGGAACACAAGCCAAGGAGAGGGAGCTAGGAGGACAAAAGTGGTGGTTGTGTTAATTGGATTGGAATTGGTGATTTCATAAATCCTCTTTTTTCGGTGTTTTTGAGATTAATGGCGGTAGGGCGCAATGGTGGTAGTTGATGTCAGTGGTGGTGGGGGTGAATGCGGAAGTTTGTGGGTAGAAGAGGGGATTAAGAGTGGGGCAAGTGGTGGTGGAAGTTGTAGCTTTAAGGATGATTTGAGTAGGAAGGGGTGTGGCTAACAGTGGTGGTGGCTGGGATAATTCAGATTGGGGTGAATCTGGTGGTACGGTTAATTGGTTGGGGAGGAGAGAGAGGGAGGAAGTGATTAAATTGTAATGAGTGGGCATTTTATGAATGGGAATTGAATTAGGGGTAATAATGGTATTTTACCATATAAACATTATTAAAAAGTCATGATGCAAGCAAAATGACATACCTCTCAAAGAAAAGTGTTGCAAGCTTGCAACTAAAAATATGGAGGAAGTCTAATCTTCTCAATGAAGTTTGAGGCAAAAAAAACCAATATGATCTCTATAACAGATATATAACTAAAAATCATATGATTCATATTTGGGCCTGAAACTCAAAGACTTTGCATACGTCACTTGAGAAGAGAAAATTCTTTGCCATACTTTTGAATTTTGATGCTCATGATATGCAACAAAAAGTAAAATATAACAGACAATATAGCTCTTTTTGGTAGTCACAGCTTTATTTTTAAGATCATTCCTAGGTTTTAGGTTATGTTCTCTTCACCTTATTTCATGAGCTTAGTACTAATTCTTATTATAATCAAACCAGATCACAGCAAATATTCTTTTTTCCGTCTTCTTATTACAAAATATCTTGAATTTTTATGTTCATACTTCCTCTGTTCTTTTTTAATCGCAATGTTAGGCTTTCACGCTTGCCAATGCATATTTTATTACTTTAATATCTTAAGTTGTACTTTAGTAAAATAAATAAATAAATAAAGTTGATATCTTGAAAGTACATTTGGAGGCGAATCTAACAAGATATCACATGACTATTTTTTCAACGTATAAATTATAAAATACAATCAAAGAATTGTGTGAAGTAAAATTTCAAACGTTAGGATCACTAAAGAACAGAGGAAATAATTATTAAAAAAATTAAGATCTTGAAAGCACCCCCCCCCCCCCCACAAAAAAAAAGGTATTGAAAAATACACATATCAAAAATGACCAGAATAAACCAGGATTTCAGACCAGACATTAGAAGATTCAAATCATAATAAGGTGAAGAGAATACAGACAAAATTCAAAGCTTTTATAATGGAATAAGTTCAGATAAGTGTTAATTCAGGCAAAAAGAACTAATTAGAGAAGGCTAGACGGTCCTTAAAAAGATTCAGGTAAGAGATCTTTTTAATCTTAAATGGGCAAAAAGAGTTTTAATCATGCTTGTAATAACATCAGAACGCCTAGTTCGAGAAGGCTGCATAATCCTTAAAAGATCCTGATAGGAGAGTCTATTAAGAAATAAGCATATAGAAAGAATGTAAACAATGTTTATACTAAAATCAGAGAGAGCAATGCCAAGACAAGCCAGATACGGGGGCAAAAGAATCAATAATGCATAAAATGCAACTTTAACAATGATAGAACAGGACCTCAATGCGTATACCAAATGCATGATCTTCATAATACCCAGGTTCATTGCTAACAATCATGCCTTTCTGCAAGGGTGTCAGGTTTCCAAATCGAAAACTAATACTTTGAGGGCCTTCATGAACATTTAATGCAGCTCCTACACCATGGCCAGTCCCTGAACATAAAAGGGTACTATTCTTTTAGCATAATAGTAAAATTGTCACCACAAGGATAAGAAAAAATACTTGCTTTCAATCAGGAAAGACAGCCAGAGAAATAGAAGGTATATGTTTTTGGAAGTACCATGGCGGTAATCAAGTCCAATTTTCCAAAGAGAAGAGCGCGCAAAGGAATCCAAAACAAAGCCAGGTGTATTTTCGGGGAATACCGCCTGATCAAGAGTTATATGACCCTGCAATGAAATTTAATGACTAAACTCTTCAGTGATTGCAGATTTTAAAGTTTTAATCACCCATTAACAAAAGTTATGAAACATTGTATTTCATAAAATTGAAATTTGAGCATGAACAAGCTAAATCAAATAAAAAAATTTGCCTCAGGGAGCATTTGTTTTTTAATGGTAATATTAAATTCCTAATTGGTAGCCTCCAAGGCTCAAAGGAGAACAAGTAGAAAGCAATGACAACAAAACCACCTTTCAGTATGAACATATCATGTTATTATTCACATGCCAAATTTTCTCCTTTTGACTTTTGACACTTGGCTTCCTCCTTGGATGCTAGTTGTTTTTGCCTTTATTGAAAAATTAAGAAAATTATTTTAGTAAAAAGATGTGTATATTATTTTGTTTATACAATTATTTAGTACTGAAGTGTTTCCTCCAAAAACAACAATACTAAAAAAAATGAGAGCATCTATAATACGGACTAAAATAAAATCCCTTAAAATAAACTGATTTTTAAATATGCTTATGAAGGCGCTTTTATTTAACTCCACTTTTCTTTCCGTCACATTGGTTTATTCCCTTTTTTTCAGTTGAGGTAATGGAATGGGCCCCAAATGGAAAAGTTAGTTAACTTTTAGATTATAGAAATTACTGTTGTCAACTTATGATACTAGTAGTATATTATTCTTCAATTCCAAAAATCTGGTGACCTTTACAATCAGGCAAGAGCAAACGAGTTTCATATGTCACACTGCTTTAGTCAAGAGCCTGCATTTATCTTATCGTAAATGAATATTTAATACACATATCCATTTTTTTTTGGTGCGAGGGGCCTAAGCAATGGCCGGCAAATAAGCATAACAAATAACAGATATCTAGAGCAAGTACACGTGTTAATTTCTCATAAAAGATTAATGGATTTGGAAGTCGTAATTAGCACCTGTAAAACACGAGTGAAACACTCTTTTTCTCGAGAAGTAGGTTCACCAAAATGAACCGTCCTTGTTATGTCTGTTGTACCATCTATATATTGTGCTCCACTGTCAAGCAAGAAGAGTTTTTCAGGATCCACAATGCTGCAACTATCTGGTTCTGGTTTGTAATGAATTATTGCACCATTCGGACCAGAACCTGAAAGCCATTTTCCATGCATTTGGTAAGTGGAAAGAGCATTTTCATTAGCAGGACAGTTGAAAGAACATGAGATTGAGAAAAAAAGTAGCATTTATTAACGCTACACCATTATGATAGTTAACAAAACATTTGATGAAATAATGCTTGTTCCTACAAATCTTTATTAAACTTCCAAGAAACATAGAGTGAAGTATGCTTGATGAAATTTTTAGGGAGCCAAAGTATCAGAATTCAAGAGAATGTTTTATTTTACAAAAACAAACTTCCTTAAGACCAAGTGGATGCATAAAATGGTTATAAGGTAACATGTCAACACCAGCAATTAAACAGATTGTACTAATATTAATTTTAAAATCTTATCCAAATGGTAACCTAGCAGCCTACATACATACAAAATGCAAAAATACACAAAACAGCGTTTTTTTTGTTTTTTTTTTTTTCTTTGGGTTAAAGGTGGGGGAGAGAGGAGCCTGAGTCCACAATCCAAAGAAAGGAAGCATTAAAAGTACAATTGGTCCAAAAAGTAATGAAGTACAATCTAGACTACAAAACATAAAGAGAAAGAAGCTAGGGCAACCCTTACATGAAGCACTTTATAAATATCATTTCCAGTAAATCAACAAAAAGAAACAGTCATACATGTACAACAGGAAGCTGCAAAATCATGTTTCTGAACCAGGTTTGAAAGTTGGTCAAACACCCTTCTTGTTACTAGAAGTGAATTATTTAAAGCCAGTAGGACGAAATTATTTAAGCCAAAAGGACGAAATCCTACAAGGTCATTCAAGCTTCTGCTTGACTGCTTTGCCATGTTGCCTGGTATGTTAGGATGATCATAGACATAACAATATTCTTAGAAGAATTACCACTTTTACATCAATCTCCAATGAATTACTAGCTTGAGCCACTGTGTAACTTTAGATTGTGCATGTTATGATAGAACAGTACTGTGTCTACTACCACTCCTTTTTTCTGTGTTTCCAGAAATTACTTTATATCTCACCTAGATAAATAAATAAATCAAAATGCTTAAAATATAGCAGCAATGACTTAATATATCACTCATGTATTTTGAGGTTCTTCGCAATGACTTAATATAAAAATATACTCAACAGAGTTGGTTAAAAGCTATTTAAAAGGATATAATTCAATAGTCAAAAGAGCAATTGAATAGTACCACTTATAGTATCAAAACTTGTATCCACAAAACCATCATGCTTGGAACGAAACTCAAGAAGTTTGTCTGCCACTTCCACCTCTGTCAATGTCACACCCTTGCTAATTTCAGCTTCCAGCCAGGACCAGAATTGTGCTACAGCAGCTGCATCCCTACAAAAAAATATTATTGATGTTAAACAGAAGGAAGGTCACTCATTTGTGCTCTAAGTGCATTATAAACTTTTGCACAAGGAGGGATAGAAGAGGGAAAAAATGCCAAAATGGATATGGAACATCATCTCTAACGCTGCATGTAAGCAAGAACCTGGATATTTAACTGCATGCACTTGAGAGTTGAGTGCGAAGAGTCTAAGAAACATTCTTTAAGCTCTCCCACTTCATCCCTCTTATAGAATTGGCAGGAGATAAGAACAGACCAAGAGTATGAAATGATTGTGCACACAACTACACATTTCCATGTACATGTGACATTGTGATGTGTATGCATTTGTATTCAAGCAACAAGGAGCACTGAAAGTCTGAAAAGTGAATATACCTTAAATGGGAATTGCGCATCCCTTCTATTTCAGCATGGTTTTTCAGTGCTTTTGCAAGGGAAATTGGGGAGCTACTATACACAGCAGTGGCACCATTAGAACCACCATTAGAGCTACCATATGACCTAGACTTATATTCCTTTTTGTTATTGGAAGCTGACTTAAAGGTGTTGGCAATAGCAGCATTTACAGTTGCTGTGTCGATCAGAAGGCGAGCCCCTTCTAGTGCCAAACTGTAGAAGAAGAAACGAAACTCAAGACACCAATATAAAAATAGGTATGCAAAATCCAGGTATGCAAAATCCAACAAAGATGTTATATCACAAATGTTTACAAGGATGTCTAGCAAAACCCCAATTGGTTCATATCAATAGCTACCATATCAGAAAAGGAAAATCAGAATCCAGCACACAATTAAGTTGACTATATAGGTCAAAAACTTGGAAGCAAGTAAAGTAGTTCATAAGAAATTAAAAGTAATACCCCCACAATTCAAATTAGAAGTATGTAGAAGTAGTCTATCTTTGTGAAAAATAAGTAGAAAAATCTACAATCCGAAAGAAACATGTGTATGCCTAGAACTAGAACTGCACCTATCTCCATTCTCCACAGATACAAACACAACAAGATGGAATACATAACATCTCATGACAGTAGCTTCTTGATGGCTCAGTTATTTTAAAAGGAGGATATTTTCAAAGAAAACAAGCATATATATTAATATTTTCTGGTCTAAGTCTAACGTATATGCAATCTTACTTCTCAACTGCATTCAAGATTGAATCATAAGGTCTCAACTCTACACCAGCATTCTGCAAGTAACCCATCACCTCTGATGTGATTTTACTATCATCAATAAATAGCTTGGATTGATCAGTTTCCACAACCAAATATGCATACATAACAGGAGAATGAGGAATATCACTTCCTCTCTGCAAAACAAAAAAAAAAAAAAAAAAAAAAAAAAAAAAAAAAAAAAATACATATATTAAGCATCAAATGTGCTACTTCCTCTTGGTTTTTTTTTTTATTTTTTAGTTGCAACATTTTGAATTTCATGGCTGTTTATAAAGTATAAAGAGTTGATATTTTAGAAATATATATTGAGACAAAGCTAACAAGATCCCATTTTTTTCCCCTTTAATTAGTCAAAGTAGAATATGTGAATAGTGCATAAGTCAGATCTTTGCAAGTTAATAAATTGGAGGAAATTATATCTTATGTAGCTAGGCTCCTACCCAGCCCTGTATAAAGAATTACCACAATTTTTTATTTCCCAAAATATAGCAACTAGAGTAGGGTTGAGAACCTCACCAAATTAAGCAACCAAGCAATTTCGTCAAGCTTGGTAATCACCATAGCAGAACAACCATCATTTGCAAGCTGGGATCTCAACCAAGATAGCTTTGAAGAAACATCTACTCCAGCATACTTTAATTCATGCAACCTCACAGGTTTTCTTGGAGGTTTTGGCCTTGAATCCTTCCAATTTTCATCTACAAGATTGGTCTTGGACAGAAGAACTAATTCATGGTTCTTTTTAGATATATCTTCTCTGAGTTCTTCAGCAGCATCAAACGAGAAGAGGAACTGTTCCCTTCACAGAACCAAGATGTAGTGTCATGAAAGACCGGTCTAATCAATATAATTGTTAACTATGGTTTACAAATGGGAAGAGAAGTAAACAAAAAAGGGAAAAGAGCACTTGCTAACCAAAAGGATTCCAACAACTCCAAAACCATAAGAATTTGTATGAAAAAAATGTCATATAACAATGAAACAAATAGTGCATGCAGCCATAATGTATGATAATTAAAAAGGAAAATCTGAGTTCCTCAACACAGAAAAAGTCGGATACTGAACCAATCAAATCATTGGCCTTACAGGATCAATGCCAACTCTGGAGCCAGGTGTAAGCACGTCATTAAGCCACTCAGACATAGTGGGGACACCCATATTACCAGCACGCATGAGTATCCAATCAGAGCTCAGTTGCTTTTCAGCCTGGTCATGACACAAAATGAAACAAAAGAGGGTTGGAATTGTGATATAAGACCAACTGATAATTCATTTGCATAGCTTGCAAGTAAACTGACACAAGGTATCATCAAGAATCACAGGTTACAAAGAATTGCAATAATAGAGTATGATAAAGGATTTTAATGTCTTGTGTACAAATAGTGGTATCAGCTAGTTCACATCGGTGCAACACCATCTAGATTTCTGAATTGTTGGTAATCATGAGATAAGCACAGACTATATTTTGTCTTCCCCCACCTCCCCCCAAAAAAAATCCCTTCTCACATTCCAATCCCTTCAGGTCCCTAACCATAGCTTGTTTATCAAAACGGTTACATAAAGAAGTGGCACGGCAGAAATTGAGCAGTATGGCTGTTAGGGATGGTTGAGGACGCGGAAGCAAGGTAATGATTGCTTAGTAGTTAGTTGCTTACCCAGCCTTTTTAGCAGCAAATTAAGATTGATACAAACATGATGATCATTATGGCAATAGAAGAATCAATAATTTAAAAGGGAGGGGAGGGAGATTCTTGGAATTATCATGAAAAAGATGTAAACATTATATTCTCCTACCTGCAAAAAATACCGCCCATCTGTCCACAAAGCCGCTTTATCCTTTGTGACAACAGCAGTGCCAGCACTCCCAGTAAAGCCAGAAATATAGGCCCTCCGCATATAACACTCAGCAATAAATTCACTCTGCAAGCCAAAATCCAAGAATGTGACAATTTAATACATGCTTACTACTGTTGACACCAATGGCAGCATTAGTCCATCTTTGACCAAAAAAACATGCAATACTATGTAGATTGGCACTGTTAAGGCACTGCTACCCAAGTGTCTAGAGAGGCTTGGGTAGTGGTGGGAGAGGCAATTTTTTATGAGGCGCACTTAAGCATAGTAGGTTCATCAATTTCATGTCCACAGTCTATTTACACAAGGAACTATAATTTTATTAAAGTGCGCCTCACTGTGAGCCTTGCACATGTGCTTCACACCTAGTCTTTAGGAATTTGGACTTATGTTGCCCCAGAGCACCATGACTCCATTAGCCTTTTCAAACAATGATATTATGATATACTTCCTCCATTTTCTTTTAGCTGTATCACTTTTCTAATTACAGACTCCTAGGCAATTTTTGGAGTAGAGAGAGATAGAAAGAAAAAATAAGGAGAGCCCATGTGATAAGAGAGAGAGAGAGATAGAGAGAAATTATTAATTAAAATGGAAAGTGATGCATCTAAATTGAAACTTCCATTTTTAGAAAGTGATACATCTAATAAAAAACGGAGGAAGTAGTTGCTAATGAGAACCTTGACTAGGCAGCAAAAAATCTTCTTATCTTCTTGAATCAACCAAACGGTGAAAAGCAGAGTCTATTAAGGGATTCAACATTTGCTATGAAATCAATCAGTGTAAAGAAAAGTCAGAATAATAATGAAATTGCTTATTTGTTTTAGATGGTTTAGCTTTGGCCCTTCAATTCATATGACTTGGCAATTATTTTTTAATTGCTGAATGAATGATAAATTTAATTTGGAAAAGACAAAAGCGCAAAACAACTCCAAACATGATAAAAATAAGCCCTTTTACTTTTAACACTAGAAATAGAGAATTGTATATCAAAGAAAATGACTTCGTGGAAAGAAAAAAGTAGAAACTACAATCATTAGTTATAAATTATCTTATAATATGCAATATATGACTTTTTTGGCAGTCTATATATCTATCATGATAGCTACATTGAAATCTTAAACATGGGATGCCATGGGATGATTTTGAACACCACCTTTTAGAAGTTACCTCGCTCTCTAAGTCTCTATCCCAACAGCTTCATCATTTCGTTCCCTTTCCTTCCGTCAATCATTTCCCAAAATCTATCATTTGCTTCTAAGTCTAGGTTCAACATGAGACAAAATCCATAGTGCCTCCACAATAATTAATATCAAACCAATTGAAAACTTTCATCTAATTATATTTAGGAAATTTTGCATATAACCACCTTTTAAATCTTTTTTTTGCAAAAAACCACCTCTTAAAAAAAATGTTGTTAAAGACCACCAATTTTTAAGAAAATGTTGCAACTTACCACCAACTGCCGGAACATGGACGTTGACCACTTTCTCCGGCGTTGACCTAGTCACGTGCGTGACACATGCCTATTAATGAACCCTAATTCCCCCCTTTTATTTCTTTCTTTCTTTCTCTTTCTTTCGATTTCCCTCTTCTCCTCTATTTCTCTTTCTTTTTGTTCCTCCATTGTTGATTGTGGCTGCTTCTTTACAAGTCAAGTGGTAAGTTTTGTTAGGAATTTTTGCTAGGAACCCTAATTATTGTTGATTGCTACTGCTTCAATTCTTCCACCAACCACGAGTCACCCACCACCCACAATCCCCTCTCAAAGGTCGCCACCACCCACAATCTCCACCCAAGAGTCACCCAGCCAGCCAACCCAAGCGCAAAGCCACGCCAATCTATCGAGAAGTAGCTACCTACACCCACCCGCCACCATCACCTCGAAAAACCATCCAAGAACAACCCACCCACCATAAAACCAACCCACTTCCCTTTTAAAACCCCAGATCTAAGTGGTAATTCGATGAGGGAGAAAAGGGGCGGTGACTTGACAAGGGAGGGAAGGGAAATAAAGGAGGAGAAGAGGGAAATTGAAAGATAAATTGTCATTTGGGGGAGAATTAGGGTTCATTAAGGGGGAAATCGAACGAAAAAATGTCATTAGGGAGAAATCAAAATAGTAAAAATGTCACGTGCTACGCACGCATAGGCGGTTCTGGGGCCGGAGCGAGGTGGTCAACAGAACAGGGCCCTTAAATTTGAGGGGCCCCAAAATCTAGATATATGTAATTAAGTTTGATATAATATCATGAAATTGCAGTTGGTGTAGTGGTTAGAGCAATTGTATTGTGTATACAAGGTATTGGGTTCGAGATATGCATGATACAATTTTCTAATTTTTTTGGGAGCTAACAGCTGGCTTCGAATTCATCCAAATACATTGAATGTAGCCTCCTTCTAGAAACCTCCGCCCAATTAAACCAGCAAACCCAATTTTTTTTCCCAAAAATTCAGATTTCTTTTTTCCCAAAAAATTTTCAATCTACTATTCTAATTCCTAAAAAACTCTATATCTTCTAAAACTCAATATTTTCTTATTTACTTTCTATTATTATCTTCATTTTCTTCAATTATTCAATTAATTGTCAAATTTTTTCATCTCCCAAAATTATTTTTCCCCATATTAGTTCATAATTTCAACGGTTTTGTCATTGGTGAAGATTATCGATTCGACGCTTGCTGTGTACGAAGGCTTCCGCAATTTAAAACAGGTTAACAAGTTTAATTTTATTGTTTTTATTAATTTTTTTTGTGGGGAATTTTTAGTGCAATATTGTTGAATTTGAGGTTAATACCGAACTGGGTAGAATTGAAAATGAGGAAATGCAATGTACGTTGTGTTTAATTGGGGATTTTTGTTTGTTGTTATATGAGAGAGAATTTCCCAATTAATTAAATTGCCAAATTCTTTGTGATTTTTCTGTTTTCACTCTTTCTCTCTTAAAATAGAAAACCCAGTTGATAAATTGTTGATTGAACTTCATTTTACCCAAAAAATTAGTGACTTAAAGACTAGATATAAAAAGGTCTCTACTAACCAAAATAACATTCTAGTATTCTAGAGTACATAATAACAACATAGCAAATAAAAAAAGTGAAGGGCTAGAACTAATACGATAGAACTTTAATACTTCGTATCACATTTTGAATCAAGAAGCATAACATCAGCAAAATATTGTTAATGGAATGCACTACAGATAAAAAGCAGAAGACAACACATTTGCACAGTGCTAAGCAGGAAAATTTAATTTTGATGAATTTTGTGATGTAACGAATTTTTTTATCAAATACAAAATTGGGTATTAAATTTATCGAGTAGAAGGCCCCATTTTAAAAAACAGGGCCCCATAAATAATTTGCAATTTTAGCCCCGGCACTGTACGCACGTGACTAGGTCAACGCCGGAGAAAGTGATCAACGTCCACTTTCCGGCAGTTGGTGATAAGTTGCAACATTTTTTAAAAAATTGGTGGTCTTTAACAACATATTTTTTAAAAGGTGGTTTTTTGCAAAAAAAAAAAAAAAAAAAAAAAAAAAAAAAAAAAAAAAAAAAAAAAGATTAAAAAGGTGGTTATGTTCAAAATTTCCTATTTAATTTACATCGTTTACATCCCCAATTGAATAAGATATTGCGTTCTGAATTTGCACATGACCACCTAAGTACCACACTACCACAAATGATTTGGTAATTGGTATAATGTCAACACTACAGTTAATACTAATGCTATCTATTTCATCATCACATTCCGTTGAATCATTTAGCTTCGAACATACCATCAACAAAACCGAACACTAGTACGACAACCATTACAAACTCATTGATTCTTCGAAACGAATTCTAATTGCATTGCATTGCATTGTATCAATATAATCACTACCTTAATGTAATTTACATGCTCAATATCCCAAAATCTTACACTATAACATCAGAAATGAATACCCAAAAGTAGAAAATACTCCAAACAACAATCAAATTCAAGAAAAACATCAAAAATTGAGATGAAGAAATCGGGAAACCTGGTGAGCATCCTGAGAAGGGATGATATAAGCATCAATACTGACGCCAGGCTTAGAGAAAAGCTCGCGCAATGCTCGGAGCTTATCGTCGTGATTACCACGCGCTTGCCGGAGTTTGCGGAGCTCCGACGAGGGTTTTGCGGAGAAAGTACTGCAGCATTTGACGACGGAAATGGCGGAGCGATTAGGGGAAAAGGGGGAAATTGAAGGAGGGGATTTGAATTTGGGGAAGATTGAGGGAGAGGAGAGAGAGAGAAAGCGAAAGTAGTTAGGGCGAAAGTGAGAGGGGTTGAAGGCGAGCTTTGCTGAGGAGAGAGATAGAGCTTCCATGGTTATGGAGTGAAGAAGGTGGAAGAGGAGAGAGATAATTGGATTGGAAGATACGGAAGGCAAATGTTTGGAGTATATGCCTGCCTCACTGGATTGAGCAATGAACTTAGGGTGTGTTCAACACCAACCCGACCTACTTAATGAACGTGTCATGCGACTCATGTAGTGTTTAACTCGTTTAATTAATCGTGTCGTAAACTCTTGGCACTTACTTAATTTTTTCGTGTGTTAGATCATTTCGTGTTATAAGTAAAAATGATAGCCTTTTTCAATATATTTATCTTAAATTCCATAAATTATTGGTCATTTTTCTTAACCGAGTTGATTTGTGTTAGTTTTGTATTGGAATTCTCAACACCAACCCGACATGTTTAATTACACGTGCCGTATCGTGTTGATCTGTTTAATTAAACGTGTCGTAAAACCTTGACACTAATTTGAATTTTCCGTGTCCGGTTTGTAACGTGTCAACTTTTGCCAGCTCTAACTTTAACCTAGCTAATTCTCAAACAAATTAATGGTCAATTATATGTATTAATAAAAATACCCAACTGTGTTGTAGTTGTTGGAAATATAGGCTATATATCAAGGCTACAAATGAACGAAAAGAGTGGAGAAGAAAATTATAGGGTAGAGAAATTACAAATATGATTTTCAGATATTAAAGACCACTAACTTGAAAATGAAATCCAAATTGATTGAGGTACAGAACATTATGGTTGCTTCGTTCCACAAGGTAAGCATCACTCCCTAACATTATGTACTTGAGGTTGAGGGATTGGAGTTACACAAATTATCCTTAACAGTCAAGAAGTAAAACAAAACACATAATGTGTCTCGATCTTATCAACAATGGCATAGCTTTATACAAGTACAAAATAATTCTAACTAATAAATGGACGTTACAACTTTACAACTCTCATAATAATAATAATAATAATCTATTTAAGAAAAAGGAAAAATGGAAGCAGATGAACCACATAACGAATTCACGAACGAGATCCATTAAATGGTGGCAAAATCAAAATTTATTTCATTTGAAGGTAAAATAAAAAAAAAAAATATCTTCTATGGTGTGGGGTTGTTAAATACCGCCCTCAAATATCTAACTAACGCCCGCAAAATAAAATATATTTTACGAATTTACCCTCATATATAAAAACAAAAAATTTACCCTTATAATCATAATATTAACCCACCACCACTACCACAATTTACCACTTACCACCTTACAATCAGAATTAAATCTCTCTTTAAAAAAAATTCTTTCTCTAAACCACCACCACCACCACTCCCACTGAGGAATAATGAGAATTACGTATTGAGACAAAGGGGAATTGATCCAGAGGGATGCTTGCCCATTCAGCCTGTTCATTCTCACCGAAACCATTAAACATCATTTTCTCACTGAAACCAACCAGCAACTGCACTATACTAGATCTACATAATTTCGCGCAGAAATGCCGAGGAACAAGGGAAGGCCGTCGTTGATGGAGTTGCCGGAGATAACGTCGGTTTTTTTTTTTCTGGAATTGGCGGAAATGGCCAATTTTTTCGCCATGTCTAGGCTGAAACGCCTAGATCTTTCGAATTATACCGTGTGGTTAATCGAAATTTCTGGGCGGTTAATCGAAATTTCTGGGTGAAACGCCTAGAAATTTCGATCGCCATACGGTGATTCGAAAGATCTAGGCGTTTCAGCTTAGATCTGGCGAAAAATTTAGGGGTTTCCCATTGATTTGGTTATTTTGTTTATAATTCGTATGTTTGAATTGTTATAATTTATCATTGATTATTGTTTATTAGTATACCCAAAAATTTGTCAGTACTCCATTCTATTAAAAAGTAACATTTTTTTTTTGGTTTTGTCATGGAACTAGTATTGGAGTTGAGAAATATCCAATATTTGATGAATACAATATTTGCTACCACTGTTTTATTGAGCTAATACCTAATAATAATTGTTGAGGGTAAAAATACCCATGACAAATGGACCAATCCGGACCTGCCACGTGTCCGCCACGAGGACCAATCAACGTCCGCCACGTGTCACACCAGGAGAGGTCCAGCATGGACAAATCAGGTCACGCCACGTGGCCCATTATCTGCCAACCTGGAAAACAGCCCCACAGGGCCCGAATCCCGAGGCAAGCCCAATCAGTCCTAGGTTAGCCATTTAACCTAGTATCGGGCACGCACTTCGAGGCTATGTAAACAGATAATTAGCCTCCATTAAACACGATTAGTCAATAGACAAATAAACACACGTGCATACTAACTGCTAGACCTTACTTAGCGTTAATTGTACTTCTTCCAAGGTTGCCCACATCAACTAGTCTGATCACTCCTCTCTTCTAGGGAACCAGATCACCTTTACTTTCCGCATCTTTTTACTCCTCAAACACGTTCTAACTTGATCGTCGGAGGCGGAACTCCACCCAACAGGAGTCTCCGTTGTTTTGCAGGTACAGGTGCACGAATCCAGTCTCGAAATTGTAACTCTCTTGCAGGACATCAAAAAACCCCGAAACAATAATGATCATTAATAAACAAAGGAAAAATGATTTTTGCCAAGCTCATTCTCTTATAAAGTACCTTAATTAATTAATTAATTTTACTTTATGTGAAATAAAGTTTAACAAGGAATCTAGTAACATTTTTGAAAATTACGGTGGTTGGTGGTTAACCTTGATCCTTAGTGGCCGTTGAACACTAAAGAGAACAGTTAAAATTTTTGTCTAGGTAAAAGTGTTTATGAGGTAAAATTAATTGTTTTTATAATAAGGCTACGTACGTAATTTTAGGTTAT